TGGCAATGTCACAATCTGAACAAAAAGATGACAGAAAATGATGAACTTCCGGATAGGATTAATTTGTTTAAACCAAAAAAAAAACAAAAAACAAAAAAAAGACAAATTATTTGTTAATGTATTTTTTAAAAACAATTCCAAGAAAAAAGGGGAAAAAAAATTAAATCAAATTTTTTGATCATAAAATAAGAACAAAAAAAAAAAAGAATCATAATTTAAAAATAAAATATGACAATGTTATTGATTGAATTTATAAATGAAAGTAAATCAGTTATAATCAATTAATTAATAAAAATCAATCATTGATAAAATTCAAATGTTACACCAAGAAAAGAGAACGATAGTTCTCTTTTCTTGGTGTAACATTTGAAACGATTACGATCCATTTAATCGATCTAATTTATATTTTCTCAAATTTTGCATAAATTATGTTTGTTTCATTAGTAGTAAACTTTAACAATGATATAAGATGTTTTTCTTCAAATTTTTTTTGGATAAATAATTGTGATAAATTGTTAAATATTAGTGGAATTGGAGTGAATTGTATCGGAAAAAAGTTGCAGAAACCATCTGAATGTGATGCAAAAATTCATCCATCTGTAATTTACTTCAGAATTCTTTAGTTCATCTGAATTTAAGGATTCATATAATATGGATTGAAATTTATTCCTGAGAAGTGATGAAAATATTAACAGATTGTTTATCATTTTCATCACTTCTCAGGAATAAATTTGATAAACAGATAAGATTAACTACACAGTTCAGTATAATACGAGAGCTTGGTTATCATTTGAAATCACAAAATTTGATCCATCTCTAGCATAAGTAGCCAATAATAAAGATGATAGAATAATCAATAAACTAGGATATGTCACCAAATAGCTGTAATTCAGGAAATTCCATTTTTACAGAGCTACTACTACTACTCTTGAAGAAATCTTGCTATTTCAGTTTAGCAAAATAGGATTTTGATTGAAATGTTGACTGGTTGAAGTGATGGTTTTTTAAATTAACAAAAAAAAAAAAAATTAGGAGAAGTTAATTATCTTTAGTAAGATAATAAACAAATAAAAGGATTATCTATCAGTAAGATAGAGTTTTAAGATAATTCAGGTAAATGCCTACCGGTTACAATTCAAATTACACCAATAAATATCCGCCTGTATGAGAAGAAAACGTTACTTTCGTTATCACAATATCATTTTGACCTTGTCCCGAATCTATCATCCATTATATACTTTCACTTTATATCATGCATATTACAGGAAAATATAAATTATGCTACACGTGGAATAGAAGTGCAGGATAATGTATTATTTTACAATTAAATTGATGAAAAACATTCCGCACCGATGAAAAGACATTCCGCACCGATGAAAAGTACAGGATAATGTATTGTTTTGCAGTTAAATTGATGAAAGACATTCCGCATCGATGAAAAGTACAGGATGATGTATTATTTTACAGTTAAATTGATGAAAAGACATTCCGCATCGATGAAAAGTACAGGATGATGTATTGTTTTACAGTTAAATTGATGAAAAGACATTCCGCATCGATGAAATGACATTCTGCACTGATAAAAAGACATTCCGCATTGATACTAAATTTCGTGAAGATAATTTACTGAAGATAAGAAATAATTTCCTGAAGATAAAAAATTTAGAGGAAAAAAAATGCAACTTGAAATAAGTTTTTCGTAATTTGTATCTTGGAAATCGAATTTTTTCCAGTAAAGAAATATCAGAACTTGAGGTTTAACTGCAGCAATTATGTTTTCCAGAGATTTCATATTTAATACAATGTGAAATTTTGTCGCAAATTTGTTGCTAATTTTACTTTTTGATGTTTAATTAAGTTGAAAATAATAAATGAATATATCGCATTAAATTCATTAATAAACAAATTATTTTCCAAATTTACCTAAACAAAAATTTTCATATTTAATGATGACAAATATAGGTAAGATATTTAAGAAGGTTAAAATATTGCTTAATATAATTATTGTTTATCCATTCTTGGTTTCACATTTCTCTTAGCATTTTATTACTATCCCAAGTAATAACATTTATTCATGTGTATATTTACATATATGTGAAAAGATTGTCACATAAAAGGATATGACAAGAGGACAGGATTACGGATTACGGACAATCTTATTTCATTGTTTCATCAAATTTTTCTCTTATCTTCTTTAAATTGTTTCAATGGAAAACGAGAATTTATAAATGAATTAAATATGGATTACATTTTACAATTTGAGGTTTTGCATAGGAGAAAGAGAGAGAGAGAGAGAGAGAGAGAGAGAG